GTGCATCTCTCACTGACAGCCCCGCATGCCAGAGGGTGTCTGGGAGGCCACAGGTCTTGCTGAGAGCTGAGTCACCCGTTTCTTGGTTTGAGACTATCCTGGGGACTTCCTGTCACAGTCGGCTATTGACCAGTGACCAGGCCCAACCGCAACATGCAGGAACTGTTTCCAGATTCTGCAGAAAATATGCATAAATTAAGTTCTTTCACAGGGAAAAAAGAAAATAATCATATTCAAATGTAATTGTATACATCCTCATCTGGAAAATGACGCAATCTAGGATGAAAGAACAGCCTAGGAAATGTAGAATTTTAACACTTCAAAGTGTACGTGAGGGTGAAAGTTTTGAGGGTGAAGGTTTTGACCAGGGTGTGTCATGTGGGCTCTGGGCTGGACCACACACAGAATGGAGGTACAGTACAGTACAGAACATCAGCATCTGTGAGCAAATCAAAAATAAAACCAAAACAAAAATAGCTCCAGTCGCAGTTTTGGAACCAAAACAACTGATTGTGGTTATCACGTTCTGACTCAGTACAAAGAAAAGAATACCCCTGTTTTCACTGACGTCACCTGGAACTGTTGTGCATGGTCCCTTGCTGTGCTGTGATTTTGATAAAAATCGTGCTTTTCTTCTGACATCATCAGCATTATACCTACTCGTGCTGTTTTTCTTTGGCAGTTCAGCATTTTGTTTAAAGCTTAAGACTCTTTGCTCAGACCGCTTAAAATAATATTAATAGGTAGTAATATTTAAAATCAATCTTAATTGTGCAACTCTGATCCCAGGTGTGTTACATCCCCTGTTTGTGGGGCATGTATTGCTTTATTCTGATATTGTGTTGTTTTTTGATAACAAAAGCTTACACTTAATTTGTTATTTGATTTCTATAGGTTTTATTCATTTGAGTGTATTTTCTGCTGCCTTGGGTGTATTCTGTGGGTTTTTTCATTAAAATTCTACTTCTGCTTCACCTACACTCAGGAAAGAAGAGACACTGATGAGTAGTCTTAATTTTTAATGAATCGATCGCCCTAAATGTCAATAAGCAGGAAACATCAACTCCGGTTTGGCCTGTAATGCATTTTTATGAGATGCCATTACAGATTTACTGATATACAGTACATCCTGATGTTTTGAGATACATTCTTACTTTTTTTTTCAGAAGGCTGGAAAAAATACTTTCATTATGTGATGCACCATCATTGCTCTGTCTTTTCCGCAATCTTTGTCCAGTATTTTGACAGCTTTTATTGAAATGACCATTTCTGTTTTAGTTATGGAAATTGCCATTCGTGACTTATCAATTTAAAATGATAGCATTTGATAGCAATTGCTGTCAGATGTGAATGGGCTGTCCTTTGGTAGAAGTGTCAGAACTGTATTTTTGTCAGATTGAATCAGTATGGCCTTTGATTAGACAAAATAAGGAGCATGCAAAATAAGGGGTGCTGTCTGTGTGGAGTTTGTATGTTCACTCAGTGTTCACAAGGGGGTTAACCGGATGCTCTGGTGTGCTCCCACAGTCTAAAGACATACTGGTAGGGTAA